ATGAAATGATCTGATTTATTTAATTAATTTGCTAATTTGTTTTAAAAAATAATTTAATTTAATTAATTCAATATAAAAAATAAAAAAATTATTTAGTTTTGGGTCTTATTCGGTTTTTCGGTTCTTGGTCTAGAATCGAGACTCGACCCAAACCCATCGATTCTCGATTCAGGTACCCGTTCGGGTATTTAACTTATGAAGAACCGCTCGATTTGGTTCGGTTCGGGATTTTTGGACATCCCTACTTATGATTTTCACTCATTTTTCCCGATGTGTATCCTAGTTCAATTTTTCAATTCTATTTGTTACACTCTCGTAGTTTGGATAAACCTTACTCCTACAAGTTTACATTTTAACAAGTCAAGATTCTCCTATATTTATAATTGTTTTAACCCTTAACACTAGACTAAGTTACTGCTTCTCATCAAATGTGTAGTTTTATCAACTGAATGCCTATGACATAATCAATGTATTGAGTGTATGTTTTTTTCTCTTTCATGTTTTTTTCCATTTTTTTTAAAATATCTTCTCATTTGCTTTTTATATAACTCATGTAGCGAGTTTTAGGCCAATGACTCCCAAGTCAGATGACCATAGGTGTTATGCTGTCGTAGGCATCCAAAAATAGTCTTTAAACCTTTAAAACTAATGTAGTAGTGGAAGTAAGAGTCGATCCCACGAAAAATGTGTCATTCAATATTTTATACTTCGTACAATGATTGGAGGGGTTTTTGTATATAAACAATTGTAAATAACGTGATTAATAATAATGAAAATTAAATTAACGAAAACAATCAAAAGATTAACATTGGTCTAAGTCCACATCCACCGTCGGAAATCCACAATTGATCATAGATATAAGGATAATTCAATTCATATTTCGAATATTCACCGTTGGAAAGAATTCATATTTCACCTTAATTTTAGTTAGTTAAAAACCAACGGTCTAACTAATCCTAATTATTAAATAACCCCAGACCAGCGTTCAAGATTCAATTTAATAACAGTTTCCCAATAGAGTAATCAATGAACTAGATAACACAAACCAGGGCTCAAGATTCAGTATTTTGGTCATATCTTCTTCTCCCGATATCAAATTTAGGCAATTCAAGATACATTGGAAAGATAACTAAGAGGGCTACAACTTTGATTCGGATATCATTTTAAAATTCGATAATTTAACATCTCAAAAATGGGTCTCAATATGAGGCTGAAAATTGGTGTATAACTTTTCAATTGGAAATTGATGTGTGATCATACTTTGACGATATTTCATTCCTTTGACATATTCTGTCAACCAATTGACTCACAAATATTCATCGTTCGTTTTGACAAAAATTTTGTGTATTTACACGCTAGTCCT